GTGGATAGATAGACTGTATACAAGGATAGAAAGGCAGTATACAGCGGATAAATAGACAGTGTACAGAGGATAGATAGAAAATGTACAGAGGATTGATAGGCAGTATAGAGAGGAAAGATAGACAGTAAACAGAGATAACATACACAGACAATAAACTGAGGATAGATAGGCAGTATACAGACTATAGATAGACAATACATAGATAAAAGATAGACAATATACAGAGGATAGATACATGTAGACAGTATACAGAGGATATATAAGCAATATTCAGAGGATAGATAGGCAATATACAGACGATAGATAGACAATAAACAGAGGATAGATAGGCAGTACATAGAGCAAAGATAGACAATATACAGAAGATAAATAGGCAGTATACAGACGAAAAATATGCAATATACAGACAATAGATAGACAATATACAGAGGATAGATAGACAGTATTACAGAGGATATATAGGCAGTATACAGAGGATAGATAGATAATATATAGAGGATAGATAGACAATGTACAGAGGATAGACAGACAATATACAGAGGATAGAAAGGAAGAATACAGAGGATAGATAGACAATATACAGAGGATAGATAGGCAGTATACAGAGGATAGATAGGCAGCATACAGACGATAGATACACAATTTACTGATGATAGATAGACAATATACAGAGGATAGAAAGGAAGAATACTGAGGATAGATAGACAGTGTAAAGATGATAGAAAGGCAGAATACAGACGATAAATAGACAATATACAGAGGATAGATAGGCAGTATACAGATGATAGACAGATAATAAACAGAGGATAGATACACAGTATACAGAGAATAGATAGGTAGTAAACAGGGAGAAGATAGACATCCTACAGAGGATAGATAGACAGTATACAGAGCATATATAGGCAGTGTACAGAGGATAAATAGACAGTGTACAGAGGATTGATAGGCAGTATACAGAGGAAAGATAGATGCATACGTGTAGTGTATGTGTGTGTGTTTTGGGAGGCTGCGATATGTTCGTGTTTGTCTCCGTGTGACAGCGCAGAACTGATGCCGACTTTATAGTGCTACCTCACTGAAACATACTGCCGAAGACACCCAGCAGGACGCCCCACTCCTAATTTGCTGAGCGTTAAGCAGGAGTAGAAACTACCATTTTTAAAGACTTTGGTATGTCTCGGCCAAGGGACAGAATCCAAAGCCTTCCTCACATGGGCGAACGCTCAACAAATGGCCAAAAGTGAGGCATTGTCAAGGGAGACATTAGGAACTAGAAAGTTATTTAGAAAGGAGAGAAGAGATAAGGTCCCAAATTTAGTCGCCTCTTACGATCATGCAATTGGGGGCAGCATGCCAGGTACAATTCTTACACCCTTCCTGCAGGGTATACAGAGATTACATAGACAGTATACAGAGGATAGATAAGCAGTAAACAAAGGATAGATAGACAGTATGCAGAGAATAGATAGACAGTATACAGAGGATAAATAGACAGTATACAAAGAATAGATAGACAGTATACAGAGGACAGATAGACAGTATACAGTGGATAGATAGACTGTATACAAGGATAGAAAGGCAGTATACAGAGGATAAATAGACAGTGTACAGAGGATAGATATAAAATGTACAGAGGATTGATAGGCAGAATAGAGAGGAAAGATAGACAGTAAACAGAGATAACATACACAGACAATAAACTGAGGATAGATAGGCACTATACAGACTATAGATAGACAATACATAGATAAAAGATAGACAATATACAGAGGATAGATACATGTAGACAGTATACAGAGGATATATAAGCAATATTCAGAGGATAGATAGGCAATATACAGACGATAGATAGACAATAAACAGAGGATAGATAGGCAGTACATAGAGCAAAGATAGACAATATACAGAGGATAAATAGGCAGTATACAGACGAAAAATATGCAATATACAGACGATAGCTAGACAATATACAGGCAGCATACAGACGATAGATACACAATTTACTGATAATAGATAGACAATATACAGAGGATAGCAAGGAAGAATACAGAGGATAGATAGACAGTATATACAGAGGTAGATAGGCAATATATAGAGGATAGATAGACAGTGTACAGAGGATAGATAGACAATATACAGAGGATAGAAAGGAAGAATACAGAGGATAGATAGGCAGTGTACAAAGGATAGATAGACAGTATACAGAGGATAGATAGACAGTATACAGAGGATAGATAGACAATATACAGAGGATAGAAAGGAAGAATACAGAGGATAGATAGACCGTACACAGAGGATAGATAGGCAATATATAGAGGATAGATAGACAGTATACAGAGGATAGATAGACAGTATACAGAGGATAGAAAGGCAGTATACAGAGGATAAATAGACAGTATACAGAGGATAGATAGACAGTATACAGAGGATATATATATAGTATACATAGGATAGATAGACAGTATACAGAGGATAAATAGACAGTATACAGAGGAAAGATATACAATATACAGATGATAGATAGACAATGTACAGAGGATAGATAGACAATGTACATAGGATAGATAGACAATGTACAGAGGATGGATAAGGTGTTAGTGTAAGTAAAGCAAAATCAGTCCGACTTGCCCTATTTTCAAGTCATGGAAAATTGGGTTGCCAATCTAGAGAAATCTTGAATCATATCAAATGGAAATCTATATTCTAACAATCTCAGAAAGAAGAAATTGTCAACATCCCAGTACATTGTGCATTAAATGATTGTAAGAGGATATGGAACAAAATCAGAGAGTGTAAAGAAAACAAGGAAATAAACAATGAACATTAAAGAACAGGTTGTCTTCTTATTATAAACTGAAATATAATATAAATCAGACACATCATTGAGGTCAGTATTTAGCATACACAGTACAGGAAGTTTTAGTCTTGTATCCCTGTCTAATAATAACACCGGATACAAAAGCATGCAATTAATGATAAATAAGCATTTAGGATAAACATTTTTTTATACCTTCCTTTTGTATTGAAATCTGTGAAAGAGAAAATAACATAGAAATATCATGCATATTTATATTGTAACAATGAAGCAAGGGCCTGGAGTAGTGATTTTTGACATTCAACTTTATGTTTCAATTTATTAGACATATAAAGGATCCATATACTGTCCACTGAAAAAGAGGCAACTAAATGGGTCCAATGAGTGGTTAATTGGCCTTCCTGGTCACTGTAAACAGTATCAAATCTATGGCCTTCCTTATCACTGTTAACAGTATCAAATCTATGGCCTTCCTGATCACTGTAAACAGTATCAAATCTATGGTCTTCCTGATCACTGTAAACAGTATCTAATCTATGGCCTTACTAATTCCTGTCAACAGTATCAATTCTATGGCCTTCCTGATCACTGTCAACAGTATCAAATCTATGGCCTTCCTGATAACTGTAAACAGTATCTAATCTTTGGCCTTCCTGATCACTGTCAACAGTATCTAATCTATGGCCTTCCTGATCACTGTCAACAGTATCAAATCTATGCCCTTCCTGATCACTGTAAACAGTATCAAATCTATTGCCTTCCTGATCACTGTAAACAGTATCAAATCTATGGACTTCCTGATCACTGCAAACAGTATCAAATTTATGGACTTCCTGATCACTGTCAACAGTATCAAATCTATGCCCTTCCTGATCACTGTAAACAGTATCAAATCTATTGCCTTCCTGATCACTGTAAACAGTATCAAATCTATGGACTTCCTGATCACTGCAAACAGTATCAAATTTATGGACTTCCTGATCACTGTCAACAGTATCAAATCTATGGCCTTCCTGATCACTGCAAACAGTATCAAATCTATGGCCTTCCTGATCACTGGAAACAGTATCAAATCTATGGCCTTCCTGATCACTGCAAACAGTATCAAATCTATGGCCTTCCTGATCACTGGAAACAGTATCAAATCTATGGCCTTCCTGATCACTGCAAACAGTATCAAATCTATGGCCTTCCTGATCACTGTAAACAGTATCTAATCTTTGGCCTTCCTGATCACTGTCAACAGTATCAAATCTAAACTTCTCTTGCAGGTAAAATGATTTAAACCTAAGATGTAGCTATAGGATGGACTTTTGTGCATTAACCACTTTTTTAAAGGTGAGTAATATGAGTTATTATATACTCATTTTGCTAATTAGCATTATAGATTTCCCAAGTAGTGAGGCCATGTGGTTTTGTTTTAATAATAAATCCTGTTGACATGTCCATCCAACTAAAAACAGGTAGAATAATGGACAACTAAGGAGTGCCAGTGGTTTTAACTTGTAATGTATACATGTGCCAGCAAGGAAAATGTATGTATTATAAGTATTAATAACTACATCATTAACCATTTCTGAATGAAAGTCATGGTTTGTATTCAAACTTCTTGAAAATAAGCCTACCAAAAAATAGAAATTCCTTGTAACATATAGTAAAACACTTGAATGTCTAACCAAAGATATGGACAAATGCAACATGAAGTCAGTGACTCAACCAAGGATTTCAAGTTTGGGTAGGGGAGGGTATAATATCTAACTGGTTCCCATTCATCTGTACTTAAAAAACTAAACCGATTTCCAGGATTTTGGAGCAAAAATACCAAAAAATTAAATGTCAATTAAATATTTTAGCAAGGAGCTTCTTTTTTCAAGTCAGTCAAGTTTAGAGTTAAACAAACAATCAATTTTTCATTTCAGCTTAAGGTCTTCTTTGCCTCTTTATTACAGTAAGTAAGAATACTTCTCTTTATTCAAACCTGTGAGTGTCAGTTATGTTTTTGATCAATAATTTTGAAGTCCTTTAATCATCATGAATTTAGTGAATTTATTGTAGAAATGTTCAAATGACAATATCTCTGAAAGTTTTAGGGTAATTTCGGTAACACCGAGTCCTGTTTTTTACAGGGTAAATTTGTATTTGACCCAAAATTAGGTTAGAACATAAAACCTATAGTCAGTTTTACCTTTCTCTCTGCTTTGACTTGAATGACGAGAGCTTCATATTTTTTTACAGTTTTCTTGGCTAATCTAAGCAGGGCTTGCCCTTCATTGCCATTTTTGTCTATCCATCTGCAACAAGAACATTATATTTTATATTACATTTTAAAACTTAATATAATTCTAAATAATTGTAGTACCTTAACATCATTGATATTAAGAAACATATAAAAACTCCACTGTATTTGTTGTACACGCCCCAACACCCACATGACATCTACCTATGATCTGCATGAAAAGTTGTTTTAATAGTAATACCCACCTTCCGCCTTTCCCTGACCCCATTTTGATTATCATTGAAAAAGAAAACACAATTAACCCTTTCATTGCCACATCAGTTACAATGTATATAGGTGTATAAATTACATTAATTCAGTAAAATTTAAGATTTTTCAATCATTTTATTGAAATGTCAATATCTTTGGTAATATCCATGGGATCTTTATGCAATTTGGCGCTTCACCTTCAAATTACCTACTGATTATGAACATACATTCAAAATTTGTTATATTATCTCATTAACCTGTAAAAAATACAGGTGAAAAAGCTAATTAAAGGTAAAAAATTAATGAAAATGTTATTAAATGTAAACCATGATACGAAATGCTTTCAATCTGATGAAGACATGTCAGCCACATGAAGATGTTGGTACATGTATTAACAATTTATTAAAATTTTCACAAACCCCAAAAGTTTTAGTTTCCAGTGAGTGTGCTTGAAAAATTAGCACAACCATGCACACAGGTATTAAATGATATTACAGTAAATTTTGAGGTTTGTTGCAATTTAACTAAGAGCAGGCCAGTCGTTATCAGTGTTTGTGTGCTGGGTATAACTGACCTACTCAGTAGTGAAGTGGACGTAAAACCACGCAAAAAATATTAATAGAAGGAACTCTTGTATTATGTGGTAGGTCATTAGTTGATATTTCAGAATTATATACAATATATACTGTTGATCAAGTATATTTATCTAATTTTCTCTTTATTCTCAAAAATAATGAAAAACTAGAAATATATCAAAATGACATGACATTTTTAAGTCACCCCATCTACTACATTTGTATATGATCATTTTCAGTGTAATAAATCATTGACAAAGCTACAACTGACATATTTCCACCTGTCAATCAAAATGGTCTAATAATGACAGGTGTATATATACATACACACTGTTTAGGTAACCATGCCAACATGCACATGGAATAAATAAGAGAGCATGTGGAAAATATCTGTTGTCACCTGGCATGGGCAGAAAAGGTAATTAGATTAAAACGATGTTGTTTTCGCAACAATAACTGTCAGAAAAGATTCAATCTTATAATCTTTCACTTTTTCTTTTTATAAAATACACGATTCAAAGTAGTTTTCTGATCGTCTGCAAATCTGACTGAATAGGACGTCGATAGGTCTATCGGCAGATCTAGAGTATGTACGCTTTGTTACTTTAAGGCAGTCACTCAAACAGGTCCGACGAGGACCGCCAGCAGCCAAATTCACAAGACATGAAAAAGACAAAACAATTGTGATTTCAGCAATTCTTCTTTGAAAAGAAAAGATCGGAATGTATTTGGCTGTTTTGAGCCCGTTAATATTTATTTTTCAAACTCTAACTTTCATTATTATCAGTTCAATTTGCATACTTGTATGTAACATTGTGAGCTCCTGCCGTTAAATAGTATCATGCCACCTCGACTCTTTGCAATACACAAACTTGCAAACTTTGCCACTTTCTCCATGTCGTTTTGACACATTCCTACTGTCAATTAAGATTAAATAGTTCAACATGATTTTACCCAAGAACGGCATTTTAATCCCAGAGTGCCACTTACAATGCAATTCTTTGTTTAATGCTTCCCCATATGTGGTATATCGTATCCTGAAAGTTGGGCTCAGGACTTTACTCGAGTTTATTTATAAACCGATTATATCGTATATCATGACTTAAACTTGCAATTATTTGTAATGGTTAAATAGACAGGAGTTGTTCAACGAAATTTAACAGTTTATTGCTGCGAGCATATATTTCAAAACATTTCTGAAAATTCCCGAAAAATTCACAATAAATCAAATGGTCGCGACCAACGTCTGGTTTTGGATTGTTCTTGAGTATCCGCGCACCCCTTTATTGACACTTTCATTTTTCCTTAAAAAAGTGCAGACTATACACAAATATTTACGGTAGTTGATGGTCAGACATAAAATATATAAATCTATCAACAACAATCCATAATATAACAGTCTACCCCTTCGGGAACCTCAAAGGTGCCTAATTTATACTGAGAACATCTTTAGGTTATATGTAATTCCCGTGTCAAATTAGGAACGCCTTCAGGTTGTATGTTATTACTGTTTGAAAAGGAAATCTATATCTGAGTTATCCAAGAGCTCGTAATTAGCGCCTGGTATATTCCATCAGAAGCAAACACACGAAAGCTCTTCAGCGTGATAGGCAACAGATGTCAAAATCTGGGACTGAAACCGAAATTGATAGACCCCACTGAAAATGTTTTGTCACATGCCTCAGCCTATTGAATAATAACAAATCATACTTACTCTTGGAGTAGACTGATTGGGTTCTCATCATCAGTAAAACTGCTGGATACTGCCTCCCTGTGATCAAAAGCCTCTAACAACTCCTCCTTTAGAGGCGCATTGAAAACTCTCATGTACGACGATATCTCTTCTGAAGTAAAGAGTTAAATATTAAATGTATGACCTTCACTTAGGCAAATTGTTCAAAGCTAAATCTTAGCTAATTGACATTAAACTCAGAGGAATGGTGGACACTGTTAATTAAGCCTTGAGAGACCAGAGTTTTAGTTGTTAAAGAAATAAAGTGTAGGGTTACATGGTTGACTTGAAGTTGTGTTATAATCTTATGATGGTATAAAAATATGAATCATTAATAAATGTACTCTTAATTAATTTGAAAGAATATTCAAGTACTTAACTAATTAGTGGATTGTGTTTTTATCGGTAAATCATTCAACTTAAAAAGTGTTGCTTGATAGAACTATTTACAAGAATTTGAAAAGATTTCATTTTGCAAATATTGGCGACTGTAGCATTATTCAATATGAGTAAAACACTTATAGTTGACAATTGAAAAAAAATAATCTGGAAAAGCAGTGACAAACTTATTATCATCAGTGATGGTAACTCTGTTCTATTTGACACATAAGTGATTAAATATAGGCCCATACGTGTTTTCTTCAGAAGGAGGTATTGTGTCCATACCCCCATAAATTTCTACATTCTGCCTTTTAATATTACACTTCCAATGCCCCCCATTTTTTCACACCTGGAGAAAACACTATCATTCTATATATTGTTTACAATGTGACTCTCAATCAAAACATGACAATTTAGAAGTACTACAGTGGTAATAGAGCAGTAGAGGAACAGTAAAATGGAATCTAAACAATCAACTTACTTCCTTCCTGAAATATAGGAACACTTTTTCCGCGATAATCTTCAAGAACTGTAGACTGAGCTTTTTCACGATCTGCCCTGTGCTGCAGAATGTTGAGGAAATTCTCAGTTTCTCTGAAATAAAAGTTCATGTGACAATGTATTGGTGGTGAGA